CACCAAGTTTTGCCTACTGTGTGTCGTGTTGTACTGTAGATGAATGAAGAGCGGATATACTGTGCTGGATTGAGTTGTGTGTCCCGTGCCGTAATTAACAGCTACTGTGTATTGTAACTGAGACATAGGACGGACTCGCCTGATGCACGCGAACAATGAACAATCAAAAGTGTGCATGTTTTGTTCTGGAGCTTAGAATTATATGCCTCATAATTTATCTCCTTGTTAAATGCACAAGATAGAGGGTAGAAATTTACGGCAATACGTTTATCAGTGATTTGCTAACTGGCAACCAGCCATATATTAGCACGTGGAGTATAAGCGTGTTTTAGGAAACTAAATTCATAACTTCAGCCCTATGATAGAGACAGTATGTCCCTCCGAAATGTTGTCAGGCAGCCAAAATTCTACACAGCGCAACTACGTAGAAGACCTCCATCTTAGCCTACTTTACGCAGCCGTGAAAGCAACAGAGCACACTTCTCACTATTTGTATCACGACAGCAAGGACTGAAAAGGAAAGAAATTTGCATCGATTGGTCGTAATGACATAAGGACTTCCCACCAGATTACGGACCAAGTTACTGAAAATACATACAAAACAACAGGTTAAATTGTGTTTTATACATAAAATTTATTATTCATTTCATCAACGGGACAATTATATAAAGAGTAAAAGACACAAACAAGTTTTGGACAAGCAAACTGTTTCGAATTTACGACGGAAATTCATTATAAGTTTTGTCAGTAGGCCTACAGACTGTGCTGCATACAGTAAGCCCCTGTGTAAGAGCCAACCTAAAAGATATAGAAAGAGGTGGGAGGAAGCTGTTAAAATAGGAACTTAGAACATTTGTTTATGTGGCTTTGAATTGGTTTAAACTAAATCAAGATCGAGGGCAAAAGTGTGCATTCTAGGATGTGGTATTGAACCTTTGCTTCTCGTTAGCAAATGGGTGGTGTCTGTTTCCACGTTGAGATGGTGAGGAAAAGTTCGTTAGGTTGTCACAAAGAACAAGTCGGATGCCTTTTATGTCACTGACTTTAGTGTGTTATGTCTTAAAAAAATGTCATAAATACATACAAAACTTAAGACGATCCAGAATTTTCGTAGATTGGTTGACATTTTAAAAACATAAATGAATCAATGCCCAGGAATACGTACGTTTAGAAGGCTTCCAAATTTGAGACAGACGTTCTGATTATTAACCGGTATAGTCCAAGCAATTTTTGAGAACTTGTTCATTCAGCCGTTTAGACTGGATCACCCTGGTGGTAAAGGCAGTAAGCAACTTTGAAACGCCGGTTAACTTCTGGTCTCAGACTGAGAGACTATAACCGACTCCATTATACGTAAGTCATGCTGACCAGTCAGTACACTCTCAGTCTGAGACTGAATCGACCTGTCTCTGCCTATTGAGTTCGGTTTATTATTCAGTCAGGTAGGAGGAACTGCTTCAGACAGCGGTTAAGTTTATCTGCATTCATCGATTGAACGTGTGAATCTCATGAACCCACAGTTATTACAGTAGCTGGTTTCTTTACTACATGAAGCCTGCACAGAAGTACGGAAAAGGGTTCCACGAAACTACTCTTCCCCTGTTACGTTACTGGAAGAGGCCACCTACCTCTCATATTCATCCCTTTTTAGAAATATCCTCCTTAAAACACTTCTTTAAAGTATTAAACACTTTTTGCATTCGTAGCACGAGCGTTATACTTGGTGACGCTTTTCAGAATTTTGTGATAAAACATTTTTTCAAGGTTAATTACTAAAATATAATGAAAGTAACGCTTATTATCTCGAAGGACGAATAATAATTTGACATGAGCGTTTCCGTGTTTTGATAGTTATACGTGAACAGTTGGCTTGTGCAAACTTAAAACTACCTAGTTCGTGCCTCGACTACATCACACTCTACGTTATAAGTTGCGAACTCGCCGCACGCTAACGTCCATCTACAAGGTCAGTTTGTCTTTTGTCTCTGAACACTTCCAAGAACAGGGTTTCGCATCTGTTTCTATAGGGTACTTAAAAGTACTGCTCCCAATCAAGAAAAATCAAACGGCTTTATGCACATAAAATGAATGTGTAATCGGGATGTTGAAATACGAAATCACTCAAAGGTTGCACTGTGAGATTCTCAGAGTACCGATATATTTATCATTAACCTGTTCATGCTTTACAGAACTATAAGTTGTTTGTGAAGTATTGTTCATATTTCAGTTATAAAGAAGAATATGAACAAGAAAGACGAAACGGCATTTTACTAAATGTAGCTGGGAAGATAAGTTCCACAAATCAAAAGATTCTGTTAGCATCGTTTCATTACCTTAAAAGGAAATTGCAGATTTATGGTATCAACATGTCTGTGTGTCTGCCCCCTCCCCCGAAACTTAACCAACTGACGATATTCATCAAACTTGCTATGAACATTACGCCATCAAATACCACATCATCGACAGTTGCCTACCATCACTATTACTAAAAAGACTGAAATTGATGCATCATCAAATATATTTAAAATTTTCACTGTAGAAATGTTATGTAATCCAGTTCACACGTGGAGCAACAGTTGGTAGGTATTTTAAATTGCGATGTGCTGCTATCTTTAGCTGTAGGATTTAATTTCTAGTCACAGAGAAGTTGGCAGTACCAGTTAAGACCCACGTGTTTCAGAGAATAGGAAAATGTTTACAAGCAGGACATTTCTTCCTGAGGTGTTGTCAGTGAAAACTTTTCACTTATGTGGGTTATATAATCAGGTAAAACATGCCACAAACATTTTGTCTCTTGTTACCCAGGTAAGAAACTGAAGATTGTAGCCGGACACAGCGGAGACTATGTGGTGCCGTTGGATGTTTGACCTTGTATGAGTGGGAAGGAGTGGATCACACATTTTCATGTGACATATTCTGATCACGTTTACAGATTGTAAACTTGAAGCTAAGGAGCTATGTATGTGCACGATTTTATTAGTAATTCCAGATTATTTTTATTCATGACTCCAAAATTTCATATATTTATGCCATCTAATGGCATTCTCATCAAACCGCTTGTCGAAGTCATTTGATGTCATGAACTAGAGATAAATTTTGCTCTACTAAGTTTTTGCAGGTGTATCGGGCAAATTGTTTGCTGTCACTTGATCGAGAATTCAGTTTTTATTTTGTGTAGTGGTTGGCTTCGTGAGTGTGATTAGTGTAAGTGTTATTCATTATACCAATTTATAATTGTGATTGATTGTACACAACCACTGTGGACCGCAACGCTGACAGATGGCTGTTTTAAGTGTATAAACTTGATGTTTCTTACAGCGCAATTCAGGTATGTACGTGCTCACAGTAATGGAGGCCGACATTATATGGTGATGAGTGAAATCGCTTATTTATCGTTTTGAATTGCTACATTGTGTTATTAACCGCCTTAGTAAAATATTTCCAGTAATTGCTGTGCTCGGTTTTTTTTTATTTATAGTGTTCTGTCTGACGACAGGTCCATATGAACAGGATCCTTCCATCCTTTTCTCGGACTGGGATCTGTTCATATACGTTCTTGGCAGATGATCCAGAAGTGGTTTGCCGTTGCCTTCTTCTGTGTGTGAATGGAGTAATTGTTGGGATGCCACGGAGAAACCGGGGAAGCCCCCGGAGGAAAACTCCGTGTTGCCTAGACCACGGCCTTGCCCAACAACACAAGTTATAAATTCGGGCACCGCCGGGAATCGAACCCGAGACCCCAGGTTTACAAGGCCAGCGTTCTAACGGCCCCGTATTAAGTACAACCAAGCTAATTAATCTACATAGCCTATTACACGTTAAAGAACGTAATATTTATTATATGCCATTTCAGGCTAAAACATGTCGCTGTAATATTTGTGTCAACTGTATGGAATAAGTGCTAAATTCATTAATTGTATTAGCTTCATAACTAAATCGTCACTTGTTTTATCCGTCAGTACGCATTTAATAACGAATTGATGTATTCAAGGATTTCATGAAATTAGGTATGAACGTTGTGTCATAGGTGAATTATGAAATTCATAATTCCTCATTTTCTGCACTCGGTAATACAAACAACATAGTTGCTTGATGTCGTGAAGTGAAATGAAGATGATGCTATTACCCATGATCCTTTACGCATGCGCAAAATCCATCACAACCAAACTTTCTGCACTGGTAATAACGTTGACGTTACAGAATGTAGGGAGGTGGAAACTTTGACCTTTAAGTAGTCACTTTGGCATGACATCAATACCAAATTTTATGAAAAGCATTGTTGTCATTATGACATAACATACTACCAAATTTAATTAATTTCCATCCATTCATTCTCTAACGTTGTGATACATTCTTGAATTTCTAAGGTAAAGATAAGTTATACCATTACTCTTGATCCTCTGCATGTATGCATAACTATGATAATAATGATGATAATTATAATAATTAATGCTTCTTATATGTAGATGGTTATCATTACTTCATTAGAAATGTTCCAAAATGCTGGTACCTACAAGACTGCCATATTTTAATCAGAAGATACCTTTCTTCTTCTTATATGTTAATATCCTTGATATTTGTAGATGAATGTTAGAGTAGTTAGTACTTTGAAATAGGTCATAACCTCTCCTTTCTTCATGCTTTCACTTCGCCATGAATATTCATCCTCATATCTCATGCAGTGCTAAGTAGCATACAAACCCAAACAGTTGAAGATAACCATGTTTCTTTATGAATAGAAATGATAACTTAAGCAAAATTCTTTAGTTTCATATCGAGGGTAAATGGTGATGGGACTGGAGAATTATGCCAGGAATTGCTGCAAAAATGAGGAGGGAAAACTTGTCTCAAATTACATAAATTTAAATAGGATTTTTGAAGATTTGAACTTGAGGTATTCCTTGGAAGTTCTTATAACAGACAGTACCATACCTGTATACTTTTAGTTCGTGGACTTAATTTATATATCTGCGAAGGATGATTTTAATTATAAAACACCATTCATTGCCAACATTTATTATGCAGTGAAGAAATGCAAGTTAATTCACTGCAGTCTCATCATACCTGATCTTTACAACGAGGCGTTATACATAAAATCATTTGTTTCTCTAAGACTAATAAAGTAAAGTGGTTTTTGGTATATACATCTTTATGAAAGTTGCGACTACTGCGATGAAGTAAATAATGACTCAGGTAACAATCATGCTAGCTTAATATCGCTCTTTAACTTTGGTGCTATTTTGAAACATTTTACAAATAATACACAGAAAAAAAAAGAATTAATATTAGCTGCCATTAACACAACCATTATAATAAATGCTGAACTTTAAATAGGAAATATTTTTGTACAGTTTCAATCTTCTGCGTGTTTTATCCGAAATATCAACAGTCCGATGGCCATCCTTGCTTTTTGTATGTGTGACACACGCAGTTTTAAACTAAAACAGTGACAGTTTGCATTTGATGATTTATTGGCTGTTTAATTATGCATCCAATTTGAATTTAATCTATGACCCACAATAGCAAACAGTTATATTTTAGTATTAAGAAGAAAAATCCAAATGTGCACAAAGATTTTCTAACCAAACATAATTTGAGCTTACTTTAATAGCAAACAATCAAAAGTAGGAAACACCGATAATTTCAATTTAGTGATAATTTAATATTAAACGAGTCATAATAAATTTAAAACAAGAAACCATGTCAAACTTTGTACTCTATAAAGATTTTGTTTTAGTACATTTCTGGCCCATAGCTAATTAAATCTATGCATCTAATATACATTCCCACAAGAGAATGATTAAAATCATGATCATTGGCACACATTAGATTTTAAAGAATTTTGGGCTGTGATGGACAAACATTTTCCTGATATCCATTTTAATGAATGTGGCAGTACATATTTATTTATGAAAAGGTATATCCACCAAAACCTTAGAGTGCGGTTGTACACTACTATAATATGACCTATAGTATTGTACGGATCTGAATGCTGAACTTTAACATCTCTAGCTGAAAGAATGCTTATGACCTGGGAAAGGAAAGTTTTAAGGCAGATTTTTGGTCCAATATGTGACAATGGCCTATGGAGAATTAGAATGAATATCAAGCTGGAGAAGCTGTTCAAAAGCTCAGATATTGTAGCCGTAATAAAGACAAGAAGGATAGAATGGCTTGGACATACACTGCAAAAACATTTAGCCTCGGAATTACTGACTCCATTGATAATACATAATTCATATGTATTTCTATAGTTTTCATGGAAGACATTCTAGTATAAGTTGCCTGAATTTTTCTTTAACTGTAAAGCAGTGTCAGAAATTATACACAGTGGAGAAATTTAAAAAAGTTGAGAAACTCATGAAAACTTAGGTCCATCAGTTTCACCAATGAGTGTATCTGTAAGATATGTGACCTTGAGGATTCGCGTGAAGTACTGTTTTTCCAGCGGCATGTTGACTGTCCACGGCATGACCCTCAGGCCACGCTCCTTCCACAGACGTACCACTTCTCTGTAAAAATTAATAAAACACATGAATAAGATCTGTAATGAAACTGCTATATATAAATGATGCAATCATATATTCATGTACTTAGTTCTACAGTATTATGAATTGTACAAAATGTTTATTGCAGAGAAGTATGGTAATGTTCATTCTTACACCATCAGACACAATAGGATAATATAATTAAGATGTTAATGAACTGATAACTGGGATACTGGGAATGACCCATTCTTCAAGTGCCTGAGCACTGCGGGTCCCAACTTTTCGTTGGCTCGATCTATAGACATTCGGTAGGACTCCTTGGACAAGTGATTAGCCCGTCGCAAGGCCTCTACCTGTACACAGGACAGCACAACACAAAAAAATGCAGACAAACATCCATGGCTTGAGTGGGATTCAAACCCATGGTCCCAGCGACCAAGTGGCACAAGGCCCACACCTCAGACCGCGCGGCCACTGCGGGACCCATGAACTGATAACATTGAATATATTTAAATTGCAAAGTAGTTATCCAACAACAACTGTACATCTAAATGTACAGACCTCAATTCGTAACTGGCAGATGAGAAGAAGAAGAAAAACACACACTCGTATATAAACTTAATGTCTTTCTTGGTTGTAAACATGAGATTATATGAGATTTGAGGTCTCTTGGTGTCAAAGTTGTCAACAAATCCATATGGTGTCCCAACTCAAAGACCATCATGGATATGTTTCTTATTGAACAAATTAAAATACATGCAGACTATTTAAATATGGAAAATATATTCATGTCACACATGAAATAAAGCTGAGTTTCCATTTATGTGCAAATTTTTGCTTTGTGAACAGCTTGTCAGAACCTGCCATACTCTTATAGCAAACGTAAAATGGCAACATACTTCTGGGGCACAAAGCATTTGTACTTACTCTGAGATGGTATCCCTCAGTAAGCCTACCAGTGATGCACTGGGGAGGTAATCATAAAAATAGTGCAGTGCCCATTCATCCAACATGTCTGCCAAACGAGCAACAATGCTGGATGAGGTCATCATACCTGTACTGCCCAACTTCACTGGTGCCATTATAGAACAATGTTGCAAACCTGTGAGGTCTCCAAGCAAGTGTGCCGGTAATGCATACATCTTGATGTCAAACCTGCAAACAGCATGAAAATGGATTGGGAAGATACTCACGAAGTAACAGTGTCCTTGTGAAGAAGAACGACCGACAGACCTAGCATGTGATGATAGAAGTTGTCATATGCCCATTTGTTGACTGCGTCTGCAGAACGTGCTGCCAGTATATGTGGAAGGCTTTTGTAGCGGGGCAAACCTTCACCTTCCACTCCGGAATAGGATGAAGAAGCATACACGTGTGGTCGCCATGCCAGAGAGCTTGTGATGCATGGGTCTCCCCGCCGGATCTATATAAGTCATATGATGCAAGGGCAAAATACTCAGACCCATGTGGCCACAGGCTCCTAACGTCATGCTTACAGGAACTGATATAAAGAGTGAAATTTTTCAGTACAGTAAATTTAGTCTTACTGATTTATATACCACTGATATCTATTTAAATCATACCTTACACAAGAATCCATTTTCTATGTTGGAGGTATCAAATTTCTGGTAATTCATATTAGCCATTTTATTCTCTTTCAAAATAAATTTTTCACAAAGTAAGGGCAGAATTTAAAAGTACAACTGAGAATGTATTACAATCTGTACACAATGAATTTGAAGGAAAATGCCAACGAGGAGCATAATTCAGTGAGTACTGTTAAACAAGATTTTTTAATATCGGGGAATAATCCTCAATACATAAAATATGTAATTTTAATCAGAGAACAACATAAATGGTACATTTAAATTAAATTCAAACAAATATAAAATGTAAATGCTGCATATCTATGACCTTGCAAGTGAAACATATGCTTTCATATCATCAAGATCCAGTACATTAATATTCCTTCATGTGGTATGGTATAAAGCTAAGAAATTAAACATTTCTATCTACATTTCCCACCTCACTGGGTCAGATCTGTCGTTTGTAACTTGAAATTGCAATATTAACATGGTTTAGAAGTTACACTGAGATCAACAGAACATACAGTATCCTCCTTATCTTGAATTTGAGTCCAGGCTATAGGGAACTTTTCCCAAGGAAGTGACATTCCAATATGAAGTTACTTTACACTTATGTTCAACAGAACAATTGTTATGAAATTTATCAACTTACCATGTAAATCAAGAGAGGACTGAATGATGACACAATGGCTCTGGTGTACATTTCTTTGTGGTGCTTGTATGCATTGTGGATCACAGATACCAACTGTAGGGATGTAAAACTTCAATTTATATCTAGACTAGAATTAGTAATTAATACAGCAAATAGGAAGGAATGACATATATCGATCAGAATGTCTGCATTATTGTGTGAAACATAAGAAATTGATACAAATGTTTGCATTGAAACATAACCTATAACTGTGATTTTCAAACATGGTTTAAGGTGTCTGCAAGTTGAGTATATTCTACTTTTTTATTTTATTTGATGCTATATCACTACAAGTTTACATTTTTCATCATATTTTACACTACATGCTATACCAGCGTGGTCCAACTGGCAGCCTGCGACCACTTGTAATCCAGCCTGAGAAAGTATTTGTTAATTTGTTACTAGTTAGTACAAACCCATTTATTTTCTTTAATCGTAAGGATTTGAAATAATAATTGTTACAGGAGCAAATTTAAAAATTTACAACACACTAGTCATTTGTGCACATTTAAATACAATTTATATTCCAGCATATGCAATGGTAATTTGTCATTTCTGAATATGTATTATTAAAGATAACGACAAATGCGAAAATAGTGAGAGTAGGGGTTTCTTGGCCCTTGGGTCCAACAGGAAAACTATTCCGGTCCGAGCAAGGAAATAAGTTGGACCGCCCTGTGCTATATTATAAGCTACAAAAAATAATTTGAAACGATTTATCAGTGCCATTGATTTTTAAATGTAAATTCGGTATTGTAACTAAGAGAAATGACTGATGACCTGGTCTATAAAATGGATTTAATATATGCAAGGCATTATATGTTTTTACCAACCACAGACATGAATTATAATTTGATGTAATAACATTTATGTAGTGCTGTATACAGACTTGGAAATGTAATTCAAACAGATCAATATGTAATTAGATTTAGATATAAACACAAACATACCTACCTTCAAATCATCGCCTTTAAGATCTATAAACATTCGCAGGCCCAAATCAAGGCATTCTTTCACTGCATCTTCAAACAGAGGAATTCTTTCTCCTCCATATTTATGTCTGTCACAAAAAAAATGTTATTTTCAAACAAACAGTTTTAAAACATGAACCCAAAGTTGACAATTTCTACAGTAGTGCAAAGTAAAGATACCTCATTGGATGTTTTTCTGATATGTCTAGTTGTTTAAGTTCTTCCCATGTCATGTTCTTGATTCTGCCCGTAGCTTCAGTCATCCTATCTACGGTGTCATCATGAAATACTATTGGTATTTTATCTCTTGTCAGTGCAACATCAAACTCAACTGCAGTCATACCCTTCTGTTTTGCCTGAAGAACATTACAAAGCACAATATGAATATGAATATCATTATTATTATTATTATTATTATTATCATCACTCTCTTCCCTAGATTTATTTTCTAGAGTAAAATAATGGGTTTAACATACAAAGAGTTATCTTGAAGGTGGATTCTCTTCTGTTCAAGTGTGCAGTGACATTACTGTAAACTACTTATTACACCACGAAACAAGATGCACCCAAATTTACAAAAGTAATAATTTTTTAAAGAAATTTCATAATCTTACTGGTTTCATACCCCACAGGGTATAAAGGGTTAACAAGATTATGTGACCAGATACTACTTTTGTAAGAATGTGAGTCACATCAGACTACATTTTCTCCAGCACGAGTACAAATGTAGTCTGAAGCAGTGCATGTGTTTAAAAGTAAAATTATTATAAGTTATTGTGATCTCATAGCTATTTCTGGAAAACCTACAAAAATAAGAAAGGGATAAAAGTATATATATTGAATTTAAATACATTTTCTGAACAAGAAGGTTCATGTCATCATTAACACACCCTGTTGACCTTGTTCATTATTTGGGAGGTACCTGTCTAAACGCAGTTATACTATTTTCTGGAGCATCTAGTGCAGCTCCTCTGTGCGCAATGCTTTTCATGATGTATGCACCATCTTGACAATCCTTTTTTTTGTCATCACGTTCTTGAAGTAGTGGATCTTGTCCCAGTATTTCTTCCACTGTTGCAGGATCAGGAGGCGGTATTCTTCCAATGTGGACTAGAATGAATATCAAAAGAGCTCCGACACTTGCTGTAGGTACAGCAAGACATAATATTTCCGAGAAATAGAACCAAAACCCATAAATATAAAAGGAAGCTTTGACGGAACTCCATATCACATTCACGATAGCAGCCATGTTGTTTACATAACCACAGCACATGCTACCAACGTGTACAGGTCTGTGTAGGCGATCCGTGTTACCAACCGAGACGGGTGGTGGTTTTGGTGGTTTTATTTACAGTTCAAAAATTTGTTGTTATTATATTCCATAATATATTATTAACTGGAGTACGTACAGTGTGCGAGCCAAGTTATCGTCTACATTCTGACACAGCGACCTTATTTCTTGCATGTGGTATAGTGATATCTTAAAAAAATTATTGGTACGTGATTTATAACACCTGGCGCTGTTGATTGCTTACACTCCGTAATGAGAACCATGCAAGTATTTTCTATATTTCTGGCTGACGGCTTGGATGAGAAATTTATAGCATCTGATTCAAATGTAACAGAAAATTATTTCTTTAATTCTCAATATTTTTCATGCTTTCATACACGCATATTGCTTTTCCTGACTGTTAATTGCTGCAGGCGATGAAATACTCTTTCGTGATTTAATATTGGCATGTTAATTAACTATCAATTGTTTAGCAACAGTTTTACGGCGTTAATTAACTGTCTCAGGCTTGTGCAATTACTTTTAATTTCATAATTTTAAATTGCAGGTAGGCGAGAACCATAGCATTTAAGGACAAAGTAAACCATTCAGTTCGATAAAATTCATATTTCAATGCCTGAATGTTGGCAGCAGTTTGATATTGCATGTCGACTGTCATTCAATGTGCGTTCTTAGTGGGAATAGAAGATTTTTGTTTTGTGATGTGTTATGTTATATTTCTGGATTGTCATTATTATCTACAGGCGACTGGGGATACTTACATATCTTTCTGCTTGAACTATTGCAAGAGTAAGTACGAATACCTCCCATTAGGTGGTTGGATCTGTTTACGGAATAGTTTTGGAATTAGGTTAGGCTTACTTGGATAGTATTTCGTTCATGGAAATGCAAATTATTGATAGTTATTTTTGTCTCTAACCATGTATATCAGTACTCTGAACTAAAAAGCGATATTTATATGTATTCCATTGATGCAACGAACAAATTAATACTATAAAACGTTATCTTAAATGATTCGTGTAACGTTCAGTAGTTAAAAGTAATAAATTATAATACATGGTATTTACCCGCCGAATAGCTACACATGAAACTGCTCGCCCAGTTAGGCGAGGTCATTAGGAAGGCGGAGAATCGTAACCAACCTTGAGTGGGTTTGGATTTGGACGATACCTGCAGGCCAATCGCTCAGTTCTGCTACTGTCTCGCGTTCTTCTGTACTGAGGACAAATTTGACCTCTTTGCAAAAAATGTCGCTGCCAAATTACGAGCATTAGGAAATAATGAACAAAGGATTTATGCAGAGAAATTAATAAATGACGCCCTTTTTGAAGCAGAGCTTGGTCCATAACTTGCGTTTTTTTATTATTATTTATTTTATTTTATTATTTTGTTTTTGCAATACACACGCGATAGCTGCATATGAAAACAGTTCAACTGTAGACATGTTTTAACAACTAAACATGACTGCACTGCACTCGGCGACATAGGCTGGAAGACTGTGACTGTGGCATACAGCCTGCCGGTTTATCTGCGCGTGTATGGGGAAGGAAACGGAGAGGCCTTGTTAATAAGTGCTATATTTGAACAAGCACTAGGTGTCAGTTGATTGCATGGGAGTTTTTATTTAGGCCCAGTATTACATTTATATAAGTACTTTTACCTTATTTTACATTGTTATTTATTTACCTATAGTTGTGTCCTGTGTAGTTCTTACAATAATCATACTTCTGGAAACACGTGCCTTTCACATGATTTCATCTTGTTACGCCCACTCCATTCTGACTAATATTGTAATAAATCTGACTGCCAGATAGACGTATTTAATTTTCTATGTTCACGGTTGTGTCAGGTTCCAGGTCATGTTCTTGGCTTTCGAGAAGTCTGCTTATTTGACTAGTTCCACCGAACGTTGTAGCTGAGTTCTTAGCTCTCCTGCTTCGTAGTCGAAAGGCCCCAGGTCCAAAATCTTGGCTAGGAACAGGCTATCCTGACTAAGGGTGTTCGTGGTTTTCTTCAGTCTCTCCAGACAAATACCTGGATATCACATAAAATTAGGCCACGACCGCTTTCTTTCACATATTCTCCAATCCATTATTCATCGTCATCTTCTCATCCGACGTTCCTCAGTCTAGATACTTAAAGCGTCGTTAAGTTCAGTATCTTGTATAAGATTAGCCGAAAGAAATGTCACATTTTACGTCCGACTGCGGACATAATCCATTTAGAATTTTCAAACGATTTCAAATACTGTGGAAAATTACAACTTGAACTTTTAAATGAATTATTCGGCATTTAAAGGGTTAAAAGCTTTATACGGGAGAAAAATGAATTATACAGTAGTTTATTTTTAAAGTGTGTATTCGCCCTGAAGAGGGCGACTGCAGTGTCTCAACATTCGAAGCGAGCTACCTCCCAAAGCCGAACTTGCACATACAATGATATTGTTGACACTTTAAGGAAACTGAATCTAGAAGTCACTCTTTTTTCTTCCTGACATAAAAGATAATGTAATTTTCACTCGTTGCACCACAGAGGAAGTACATGCAGACCTTACTAATGGAAAGACAGCAAAATAACTTGAGTGTTTTTCAGTAACGTTTATTATGGACAGAGCTGTTGCTGATGTAATTTATAGTTGATTTCATCAGTAGGCTCACAGTGGGAATTGATTCTGCTTCACGCGTCACCTGTAGAAGAAGGAAATCCGATTTCTGCGCTCCAGAAGTGAGTTTGGGAAATGGAACAGAATTGCTTTTGTCAACAACCCAATATTGGAGGAGTTGCTGCTTTCGAGAATATGACTTACTTACCACACGACAAATCCACACAGTTTCGGTTTTGGAAGTAGCTGCTGTCCACGGTTACATTATACTCTTTCAGTAAGCACGCGTCCACCCCACTACTGAAAGAGGACAGTAAATAAGTGACATTCAAAGTAAAATTGTTTTTCTCTGTCTCCATTCACCTAGTAGAACGACAGATGTAGCCTGACTATAGCGAGATGTCCGAAAAATGGTATTAGATAAATACAATTTAACGTTAGCTGCCTTCCATCGGAACGTAGAAAACCACAGTCAACACTTTCAACGTGGTGAGAAACTCAAATTTCAGATACAAAAATATTGAAACTTGGAGTTGGCAGGGTTTAAATATTAGGCCGTGTGCTGATGGACGGGTTTCAGTTTTTACCAAAGAGCTTAATGAACACGTAAATTATTTCTGGCAGGCCAGTCAACACGCCACATTTAACAGAAATAGGAGTGAAGTAAATAAAATATTTTGTTGCCATAAAGCGTGGTTTTAACGCTCTGTGGTTTGGAGAGCGATGAAATATTCGGTCTGAAATAGAGAGTCACGTGCAATATTTAACAAAATTTGTTCAGTCTGTGGCGCTGATGTGTATGAGTTGGCAGAATATCAACATTTAAATATTTTACTCAGGCCTTCTTGAGACTTGAGAATCCCAAAGTGAAGTTTATACTGTTACTTTGAACATAATTTGGACAGACATGGAAGTGAATTCAGTTTGGATTCCCACAATTTAAAAGCCCCTTCCATTTCATTTACGTGGCGTCCGCTTTGTTTATATAAGTTGTAACTGTCAGAAATTAAGTGCGCTCCGCGTGTTTTGAGCTGGGACTCAATATTTTCCTGCTTAGAAACCTTTCTCGGTCTGTTATTGGGTAAAGTCAACTGAAAAGTATTGATTTCCTTATCCTTTAAGCGTCGACTTATTTATTGTAGGTAATAGTAAATGGACAAAAGATATAGGCATCATAAAAAAAGCCAAACATCGTAACAGATAAAAACTTCGAACAAATATTTTCCAGAAGTTATATATCAGTATTCCGTTTGGCGAATTTGCACACTCGTAGGGATTAGGTGGTTGTAATTGCGCCGAGAGTTCTTGGTTTACAGGTACGCATACAACCAGATAGTTATCAGAGAAAAATAACAGAAAGCTTCAGAAACTGGTATCGTCTCACATACATTTACACATATTAACATGCATGTATAAACAGATACATACCTATTCATACATGTGTGTACATACATACTGATACACACGAAAAGCGTACACAAATAGTTGGTACAAACTTGAATAACAGTTATGTATTTAACACTTCAAATGTATTTACATTTCAGCACAGCTTATCTCATAACACATTCCAACATCGATTCATAATTATCGTTATTCATAAACGCGAACATTACAGAAATATTAAAAGAAACTTCACTACAAGAGGCAATATTCACGTTTGGGATCGTAGTGAGAAGTCAAAATAAATTGTTAATAGTTGCTCTGTTCCGTATTTACCTTCGCGAACAGTTGGATTTTAAAGACAACAAAAATCAATGCCGCTACAATATTTAGTAGAATTTTTGGTTTTTAATTACATCGAAAGAAATTAATGAATATTATTCACTTTGAGTTCTGACATTTCTGTTAGTATAGTATATTTACTCCACTGTTCAGTTGAAATTCTGACATACACAGTCATATGAAAATGATAGAAACTTACATAAAGGAATCGTTTCATGTCGATCCAACAGCTTTAATATTTATTCTTATGATTTTATAATGATTGCAATGATCTCTGGGTTATTGCGCTGTGCTGTATTTTGGTTCTGTGCTAGCATTTCAGTAGGACGTAATGCCTCCTTCATCAGACATAACAATATGGGACAACAATCCAGAAGTTAATTGATATTTAGGTCGCAGTGAAAAGGTGGAGCCTTACAAAATTTAGTATTAATGTATCAAAATGTTTTTGACATAATTCTGGTGTCAGATCGATTATCTGTCTGTAACATTCCAAGAGCTTGCTGAGAGTTATGATTACGTTGAAAATAAATTAAGATTAAAAAGTTCTTGCATTCGTTCGGCTTTGTTCCCCAGGAAACAGTTTAGGCGTTCAAGGAAACCCCCCCTTTTTTTACCGGTTTAGTGATCTAACGTTAGCTAATACATTCATCTTGGCCCACGTTTTTCGAATAATCTTTTTCATGATTATTTAAATTTGCGTATCTTAAATTTTCCTCAGTTTAGAAGAATTGGCAAAAATGTCTTTGCATTAAAATTAATTGATTTACAATGTGAGTTAACATTTTAAATCTTTGGTTGCATCGGAAGCAACTAACCGCTACCAAATATCACGGTTAGCAAACATTTTATTACATTTGGTAGGTCCCGGTTTAAAATCTGTACATAAAATCGAATGTGGTAAGTGATTTACCTCGACGCAGTTTTGGGGCAGTACCCTAAACTGGGCTGTGGCTACTTCCTTTTGTACCACATATAATTCATAATTCTCGCTCATCCAGTTATTTGATGCTGTTTAAATAAAAAAAGTAAGAATAACCTCCCTTTCTTCTCCCTATTTTCTTACTTACGTGCATTATATTTTCGTCTCGCCTTATTCTTATATTTTAACGTGTCATGTATTTTGTTGCAAAAATGAACGCTAACATTTGCTAATGTAAACACAGGCCAGTTTGTTCATTCAGTATGTAATTAAAGCTGTGAAAGTTAACCGTTTGAAGCAGGACTCTGTGACCGATTTGATCGATGACGGTAGCAGTGTGACCCCACTCATAAAGAGATGATCAGTGGATCTTCTGCCAGTGTTACCAACAGCCTACCGTGAATTCATATATTCGCATTGTAGCCCACTACTTCGTACAGTGCATTCATGGATAAAGTTGAACACAACCGTTACTTTCTAGCTCCCGGTAGGAACTACTGTAATTTTGGTAACTTGATTTTATTGTTTTTATGGAACGATACTTGACATATCGGCTAAACGTTGTAGCGCTTGGCGGTAAGCCATGCAGTTTCAGCCGGGAGCCGGGAAGTTACATTTAGGTTCAACTTCATCAGTGAACTCACTGTAGTAACCGGTAGACTATTTATTAATTGTTAAGAGCGTATATTGCTGATATTAACCGAAAGTACAAATAATTTTGTATTTATACGTTATTTTATACTCGTGCCATAGCTTTGAATCGAATACGACAGTGAACGGCTCTGAGTATACTTTCGTTTGTGTATTGACATCGATGTTATGCCACTGCTGCGGGAATTCTGTTATAAACTCGTAGAAATTCCGGTCAGTATATTAATTAAAAAACCTGTAAGTAAATACTTAAAATCTCGATATTTATTGTGTTCTAATGACGTAGTCACATGCATTGTTTTTTACTTCTTTTCCTGTGCAAGTCAATTCCATTGATCTATCACCTTTTCGACAGTTGACACTTGGTGATTTTTAATGATTGTTTTGGCGGTCGCTGGGAATAAAGTCGTGCATGTCCTCGAATGTTTTAAAGGACCGTCTCAATCTCTGCTACGTCTTTCCGGTACATTCGTCTGTAAAAAGAAAGGCAGGCAGTTATAAATTTATTGCCACTACTAAGGCACATGAAACTAACTAACTAACTAACTAACTAAAGTGCGTGACACGAACGATGGCGACTGAGTCTTAGACGCTTCTACGTGTCTAAAGCCACGTGCCTTCGTTAGCCAGTTGACTTCAGTCAGCTGCTCTACGTTCACTCGATTAGTAGTGTTGTTCGTGTTACATGTGAATGTCATATTTGTGGTATGTATTCGAGTTTCGTGGTTACATGATGCAGATTGTGAGTATTCAGCAGTAGGTGCGTGATTGGCTTATTAAAACGGAAGGCACAGACAGGCTAGAAAGCTGGTGTTTAAAGTATTCAGTTACGTCAACCGTGAAGCAGATGCACCGCCTTCATTCGTGCCAGTAAGTTTAACTAGCACAACACGTTGAACAGTGTTTGTGAAGTACACTTTTGTGTTAATTTTACCTGACTCATAAAAATGCGTGTGTATTTGGTTGACTGTCAAATCATTTGACATTTCTCAAATTCCGTACGCAATGTCAAGGGATATAAGGAATAACAGGGGACCTAAGACCACAAAATAACAAAAGCAGCGAAGATAGATAATTGATGTGTGCTATGATTATAATTTTATCAATATTTGCTATCGCAAAGTGCATTTTATTATCATGATTGATTTTGACAAACGTTTAGATGTAGGAATTAAGACGGTGGAGCAATACCTACACCGGTGGGGACCAGACCCCATAGTTTTCTACGAAGTAATCTCTGTGAACGTCTCTTGACGATCTGCAAAACTCTTCGTGTGGTCCAGGGAAAGCGCTGCAACTAGTAAAGATTACCAATCATTAAAACGTCTCATACTTTTCTGTCTTTATCAATACTAATTGCCAATGAAGGCTGCTGTTTTGTAAGTGACATTTTACTCAGATCCATTTTGACATAGTTTCGCTCTTCATGTGCAGCTGACAGCGGAAATGGTTTTGTCGCAATCTAAAAGACCAACATTGACAATATGGGTGTAATATCATATGGAGTTTTTTATTGTTCCTTCTATTTAATTGAATATAACAAAATAGATTCAATAGAGCTGTATGCCTTAATGTGACCTTTTAGTGTGCCAACTTATTGTAGAACCAGTCTTTATTTTTCGGTCTTTTGATCGGTTCCTTTTGAGTTTTTACACGTTTCTTGACCGTTACAAGGAAAATTAAACCAGTGCATGCAACCAGTAACACATGTTATTGAAATGCGTTGAATATTTTTGGAAACGAATCATATGGACAGACAAACAGGCACAACATAACATGCCGGTTATTAATAAGAACATATATAAATTACCTGGAGTGGACGGTCGCATGGCCCCAAGACCAGGCCAACGACTTAGACCTCGGACGACTAGCAGATATGTTGAGTCTGGGTCCATGAACCTGGCACATAACAGCAGAGGTATGGAGCTGTAGATCCGCTTCGAGTTCTGCCACTCGGCGCTGTGCCGCCCCCAGTGCAACCTCCATACGTCCTAGGAGATCGTCGCATCCCGCCGTAGGACACCGCGGCGTCAACAGGAGGCGCCTGGGTTCCGTAGGGGGGGTATTGGGGGTCAAGGTTCTGCCCAAGCTCTGAAATGAAACAGCGTTTTAGGATGAAGTGGTAGTTCGGTTGTGAATAATGGACAGTAAAGACGCTTCAGAATGCATACTCTTCGGCAGATATTATTTAGATGTTAAAATCAAGGAGATGCGCAGAGATTGTAGCACGCAGGAGATTGGACAGAATTTTGTTTGGAAAGACTAACAAGATTTTACAGCTCGGAAGACCTGGTGCAGATGGAAGGATAATATTAAAAGGACAATGGAATATGGTGGGAGGGTGTGGACTGGATTCATCTGGCTCAGGGTAGGGATATGTGTTGGGTTCTTGTGAGAACGGTAATTAACCTTCGTGTTCCATAAATGTGGGGGAATTTATTTGAGTAGCTGAGGAACTTCTTAAGAAGGAACATGCTGCAGGGATTGGTTGGAATTCGGAAGGATTCGAGAGAAGCGGTCGTTGCTTATTTAACGGAACTATATCAAGAGTTTGTCTAGGGGTACTGAGTATAATCGTGAAAATATGCCAGGAAAGCTTATACGCCGGTATAAATTCGAACACTGGATCTCCTGAATTCGAAGCGTGTGTGATTACGACTCTACTGCGAGTTTTATTTTTTATTGTACCGTTCGGGTATAAAATGTCCAAGTGTCTATCTAGCCCAGTACTCTTTAAATTCAATGTGAAAGACCTGTTGTTTGGTCTGTACCTATTGGTGTTATAAATATGTTTTACCAGTATTACAGAAGGTAGATGAGAAAGCGGTAAAGTCATCCCATTACGCGCCATGTAGGCGCTCAGGGGAGAGGTGGTGTAGCTCCCACTCATTTCAACCTCGGCAATAGATGGGGATCAGTTGTCAGAATCACGCCTCGGCGGAGCATATCCTCGGGGAAAGGACCCCCAGTACCCATTAGACAGGATGCTGGGTGGGCTCTAGAGCCGGTCTGCCTCTGTCGGGGATCGAACCCAAGTCATTCAACCCGTAGTTAGTCACTGTACTGACTGAGCTCCCCGGCTGGTGAAGAGGGTTTACACTATTTTTTGTCCGAACCCTAGTTTCGATCCGCAGACACATTTCTGTGCGGTTTTAGGGTTTAGTTGCCTTTAAAATGCTTTAATTGAAACTATTTTAAAATAGTATTTGTTAAGAGAGTATCCGCACAAGGAATAATTTGTGAGAATATTTTCACTCTCACTAAATAGGATCATATAATAGGATTATTGTTACTGCTGAAACGTCAGTGAAAAGATTATCTACTTCTCCGTTTATGGGATTACGTCCTGGAAGCTAACATTTTCATTAAGAAGCAATATACCGTGTCTTTAACAGGGAGAGTCCTCTCAGGGCAACCAGTAATGCATGTGAGCCGCTAGGATGGGTCCAGACCCGACCTAACCGCAGCTCAGACCTGCCTCTCGTATGTCCCACAACTCCAGGCCAGTGGTCGGTAACAGGCTTATTCCTAGCTGAGCAAAATGTCGCAGGCCGAATTCATTACAACTGGTTGTACTAGCCTTGTTGAAAACATCGACTGAAAAACAACATTACTGGTGATCTCACACTCTGACGTAAAGTATATTTCTTTAGCATTTTATAATTTTTGTGCATCTGGTAACCCCTTTCATATAAAAGAATTCGCGAATTACTGTTCTTACAACGCAGATATTAGTGGTAACTTTTCCGTGCTTGTACTTTATCTTTGGCGATGTGAATGACCACTTTGGTGCTAAACATATTATTTTTCTTTCATTATTTTGCACAGCGTTAGTCAAAGCGGTGTCTCGACGTGTCGAACAGGAATAAAGAAAATTTTCTTCAAATTGGTCCTTATTTCCGAAACTCAAAGCTCCTTTCTCATCGAGTGCTACATGCGTCTCCCATGCCAATCTCTTTATTTTATCACCCTAATGATATTTTGTGATTAGTACAAAGCATGGCGCTTTAATTTTGCAGTTTTATCCAGTCTCCCGCTGCTTCGTTTATCGTTATTTTCCTCTGCGTACGCAAAAACAAAATATAATGAGAGTTTAGAAAATTTCAAAACAAACTTTGCGAAAGCCGACATCAGCAAGTCTGTGTGTTATATATGAGAGTGACCTCGTGCTGCCTGGTGAGAAAACTGACTGCGGAGTTGATTAATATTAACAGATAGTGGATATTTTTGGAAGAAACATTACACATACTTTAACGCGCGTTCCGTACTCAATTGTTACTCTGAATTCCAAACGTCCGCCAGTTTCCATTTTTGCCTTGCTCGGTCTGTACCTAGAACAGAGAATCGGGAATCGGGTGGGGTATTCGAAGTCATCACGGGCCGGAAATCCTCGTGAAATAACATTTCTGCGAAAATAAATTACCTAATTACAAACTCTTACACTACTGGACATAGGTTGCTTTATACGTGTACAAGAATGTTTACTGTATTTATATGGCTCTGAACAGTATTCAGTGGCAGGCTTTTGTAAACGCGGTGATGAACTTTCCATGAAAGGCTGGAACGTTTATTGAGTAGCTGAGCATACTGTTTGTTCCTTAATAAGCACTCCTCTTGCGTATGAAGTGTGTTGGTTAGGTTATTACGATAAAAATACTGTATTGTGTAAATTTATACAGGGCCGTACTCTCTGCGGATCGGATCAATATTTTCATTGGCCATAGTTTGTCAGCCACTGCCATAGTGGCAAATGAAGTAATTTTAATTGTTAGGAGATAATATTGATCAGGTTCCAATTTTAGAATCGTCGTATCAAGCGTAGCGTAGGTTTATGCGATATATATTGCAGAGAGAGGCCATGTCCACCTGTCTGTCTGCCCACAGCTGTCAAGAGTGAAATTTGTTAGCTGAAGCGTTAATGCGACCTGCAATTCTGTATTTAGGAGGTTACTGATTTTGTCGGACTGGTCTCACAAGAGTGTGTGCTTTTGCTGTTTCACATTTCAGGCGCGTTTGGAGCGAATAATTGCAGAAACGTGCCTAATTTTTTCCCCCCATGTCTGTCCGTATATGACGACTCCAAAGTCTTCGAACCTATTTTTATGACATTTAATATATGGGAGTTTTAATTAAATTTGTCGACACACTCCAATTTTGGGTTAAAATCGAACAGCATTGGCGGTCAGTACATGATGATGTACATGAATTTTCTGCTTTCATCTCGAGCATAAATCACTAAACATTTATCTGAGCTATGTTCCGAACAAAACATATCTGTACAGGCTAGTTATAACGGCGAGAGATATGAAGATCTTACGCCGTTTAGTCTGGTAGGTAACGATCGACGTTTTGGAGATCCCTGTCGGTCATTATAGAGGCTACTTTCGGCCTTCCCTTGCATATCAAACTCTTGTTCGTAGTTCCTTGATATCTCTGTTTATTTTAATTCATTGTTTAATGTTGTTATTTCCCTCATTGCTTTTATTTAATTTTCCTGAAATTAATTTGTTCCTTTCTCTCTTTATACTACGTAATGTACGTATTTCTTCAATATATTTCCATCTATCTCACTGCTCCGCCCCCCCCCCCCCCAGTTGAGGTCGCCTCTTCTTGTATTTGATTTATCACTCTGCGTGTATTCTAGTAGCACTCCAGTCCTCGCCCCACTCCAATTAGTTCGGCCAGGTCTCTGCCTTATCCAGCCTAATTCTTTACTTACACCAACTTTGCTCGCGTGGCTTACTCATCGCCCTGAAGCTGGAAACAGTAAGCTCCTTTGAGACGTCGGTCGGTATCTACCAGACTACAACGCAAGATCCCCCAAGACAGTCGTCTTCGTAGGTGTAATTGGGTCGCTCTGGGTGTCTTACCCTGCTGAGCAGTGAGCAGCAGCCCCTGACGGCGGCAGCCCGCGTGGAAGGCTGGTCGTCGAAGTGCATAAGCCTGTTGATGGGGCGGTGACACATGCAGTAAGCGCGTTCCAACAGCAAGAGGACCACCGCCAGGAGAATCCCTGACCCGAGAAGCAGGAAGGTAGAGAAGAACTGCTCTAGAGCCAGGGGGTCACTGCGACTCGGTTTCTCTTTACTCATGGGCTTGTTACATGCACCAGTAAACCAGAACCGACGTAATCGCTCCAGATCTCCTGCGACAACAGAATGAAACGAAAGCTTTCCGTTACGGACTTCTTAAATCATACCATTTCTGTACTGTGAGTGCTGAAGGTGTAGGATACTTGCATTGGATGCCAGCGAAAACGGCCGTCGTTTGGAATATCAGACAAAACACATGCTGAAAAGTTCAAATGGGTTCATGTTATTTATAATCGTGAACGCGTTATGTTTTAACGTACACTGAAGGCGTTGTAATGTATAGGTTTTATGGAATTTTTTCCCCCAACGAAGTTGAAAAATACGCCTATTAGCTTCGTCAAACCAGTCTTACGTCTGCCGCATGTAATGACTTATCACCCTGATGATGGAGGTAGCAAGCACCTGTGAAACGTCAATAAACTTATACCAGACCACACGGCGCAGCATCAGAAGACAGCCATCATCTTGTTAGACATACATTAGCCGGTATTACAGTGGTATGAGTCCTCAAAATTAAGAGTAAGAAGGAAGAACAATTTTTGGAAATTTCTTGTGAATCGGACATATTGATTTTTAACAATTATGCAGGTGTGATTATATAATTTAGACGTTAATTTAACGTTGAAGATTAGGTATTGCTAAATTACAGGTAACATGAAATATAGGCCATAGTGCAGTGTTTGTATTTAGATTGTCATTTTTTAATTTATGTACCCTTACCCTGGCAAAGCAAATTACTGAGAATGTTGTGAAAAGACTAAATTAATTACACCAAAACGAACTAGATCGCGTAAACTCTGGAGACAGTATCTAAAGTGTTAATGTCTAAATGTTGTAAGTGTATGAACTTATTAGAATGAAGGAAGAAGCGAAGTCCCTTACTTTGGATTGGCAAACGGACACCGCATTTGTTTATAACTTACACGTCTAATTTCTTCTAGTAAGAGAGTTCTGACCTTCTGAGAAACACGTGAGTATAAAGCGAATGCCATTTTGGAAGTTATTTGTAATTTGCATGGAGTAGGCATATATTTCTCTTCTCCTCTTCCGGTCTGCTTTATGTCACTTCATTATTCAAAACTCCACTACTGAAATTACACGAGGTCGGTGTCACACCGAATCTACGAGAGCTTCAACATTGTTTATCTTCATAACTATGAATAGTCTTATTGACAGTTATACAGCTAAGCCAAAGCCAGACTTTCCTTAGTCTGTGGGAAGCAGGTAACTAAAACAGAAGGTAACTCAACAGACATCTGAATGTTTGTGTTAAGTGCGTACGTTGTTGGAGTAGTTTATTCAAAATATGGCCCGTTTATAATGTACTTACTTGCATCAAGAAAGGGCTCAAATTCCTATGGAAATTGCTAGTAATTCAGGAGCTATCCAGTTAACTGCTAAATTTTCTACGTATATGAACGAAAGTCACAGTCCGATGTTTAGCGATCTTTCATATTGTGGAATTATCAAATTCAGATCTCGGGCTGTAGAATGGCTATCCTGATTGAGATTCTCCTTGGCTTTCCTCAGACTATCCAGCCAAATGCCGGGATAGAATCGTAAATTAAAGAGTAAGCGCTTTCTCCCACATAATTTAAAATTTACTACTCACCAGTCGTCTTGTCATCCGACTCTGTGTAAAGTAATTACAAGATTACTTGAAAGAGATTTGGATCACGTGATGTTATAGGGTGTTTTTGGGCGATCAGCAATGTGAGAATTATTATCCAGGATACAGTAAAACCTACCATTTTCGCGGTATTCCATAAGCTGTTGGTTGACAAGGTCCCGGAACTTGGAATGTCTGGGGAAGCCTACCCCATATCCCGTCATGGCGAACCATGAGCCGACAGTGAGTAGGACACATTCCGAGTCCTGTCCTACCAGGTACTCCAGTACCGTCGCATCGTAAATGAACGCGTCCAACTTCCTGCAAAAACAAGGAATTAGAATCAGCTGAGTGAGAGTTCAGGTTCTCACGGCGTCGAATTTGTTCACGGTTGTCTTCTGGGACGTTGCGGCATGTACTCTTGTAGAAGTTTACCGACGTTTCAGAGGTGCTTACCACCTCCATTAGGGAGATGATCACCCTGAAGTTGGAGGTAGTAAGGATCTTTGAAACGTCGATAAATCTCTATCGTACAGTACGACGCGACATCTAAGACAAGACCAGGCGATTTAGTTTCATACAAATCATACGAGCAAGTCCTCCAAAGGTATTGGAAATGCAAAGGAATGGAGGATGTGGTGGAACAAATAAAGAGGCTGAAGTGACTAAATGAATTATTTAAAATGGAAAGAAGTAGAAATAACGGAAGGGACAAATAAACAGAAAAAGAAGAGAGAGAGAGAAAAAAGGGATTTAATTCAGTGTGCAGCGTCATGGAAGAGGCTGAGCAACGCTAGCATAACGAGAACTCTTCGCCTGCGGAGTTCTGTGTGAGCTACACCGCACAACACACAAGTGAGAGAAGTTGCCGTTCTTTCACGGCGCTACCACAAGGATTATTAACACGGTTTTATTTTAAAAACAGACAAAAAAGGTCTGAACGAAACTGGGGCCTCAGAGCATTCTAAATTACGAGATTTTAAGCCAGTGGTAACGAGGTCAGTGTTGTCAGAGGACACTTCCAAAGTAATTAACAAACGCAACAGAAGGTAATCAAACAAATAATTACACCCTCAGTCACTCGTAAAAGATTTTGAAATAATCTTTGTTTCTTTGTTTATTTGGTGATTGTCGATTATGATAGTTTGGTTTGTCACATTGTGTGGTATTTTTCTCCGAAACGTTGGTAACTACTTAGAGCTACAGAGTGCCCTGACTACTCTAATTGACAACCACACTTGGTAAATTGTTGTTTCACTTGGTACAGTTGTGGACAGAGACAGAGTGTCTGACTTGAGGACGTTCGTCCATAGAATGGTGAAAGTAATTACGCGATGTTGTGACGAGCAGCTGAGCATCGGTATTAATGCTTACCCTTCCTTGACGGCCTGAACACCTTGCATGACAGTGGATCGGTTGAAGGGCCTCATGTACGAGTGCATGGCGGGGAAGTTCCTCCGTAGAACCGCGTCTGTGTTGCCGTGTGGTATAGTGCCGAAACGGAACGGCGGTTTCAGTGAGTGGGGGTTACTCAGCTGTTGAAACAGACAAAACGATACAGCTGGAAGATGAAAAGAATTTGGGTAGCCCTTTTAAAAGTTTTGCTGAATTCATAGTTTAATATCACTCTACATTTAAAATAATGGTATGGTAGTATAACAGAGGAACGATTCTCTGGTATAGTTACTTGATGTGTTATTCTGTTATACAACTCCATGAAACTCAGTTAGCGGGGACATTTCCCACCTTTTATGAAACTATAAAGTTCATTGTTATGTACTCAAAAGCGCGTTATTGGTCCGTATCCAGAGCGAGATGATTGAAATCCACACCTTCGCATTTTATCAAGATATATTTTAATATTATGTGAGATTTGAGGTTAGAACGGCGATGGGTACAAAGGTGGATGATGGTGGGTACAGTAAGTTTTTCCGAAACGTCTTTGATATTTACCAGACTGCACGGTGCTGCATCCCTTAAGAAAGCCATCATAATTTTAACACTATCCTTAAAATTACGCCTAAAACCTCCTAACGGTATCCTCTCGTAATATTTTCCAAGATATATGTATTTATTATCCATCTCATGTGTGCTTCATGCCCCACCGTTTCATCGTCCTAGATTACTTCGCCGTGATAGTATTTTACGTATAATACAAGTTCTGAAGCTCATAATCCATTTATTCCGAGGCTCGTGATACTTCCAACCTCTTAGGTCCTTGGAAGTCTTCTTTTACTTCGCCCTGAATAAAATATGAACAGACTATACCCTGTGTTGGATTCTTGTCGAGTCAAGTTAAGGTGAAAGCCACGTTTTGCTGTTTTATCGAGATGGACTGCACGT